AATTAATATCACAAAGCCCATGAGATTCAAATTCCCCTTTTACAGATGAGTAAACTGAGGCACAGACTGTTAAATTATAGGGCACATAGGCACATCTGGGCTTGAAAAATTCTATACTTAGGCATTAAAAAATGATACTTAAAAACTGCTTTCATTCTTCAGGTAGACTCAGTAATCACCCAAATATATCTGGACACAAACTTTCCCATCCCCATCTAGCTGTGAGGGACTCTAGTTTTAGGACTTGACACCCCATCTTTCTTTGTGCGAAGGAAGGAAGACAAGAGAAGCATCCCAGTTTAAGGGCTAGTTCTGCTTGAGAGTCATGCTATATGGGCAGCTGTTGATAAAAGAATTATAACTTTTATTCTTTTTAATGTTGAGAAATCATGATTATTTGGGGTGAAAAACAAAGGGCACACAAAATATAGATTCTTTTAATATGATTATATATGGAAATACTGGGATACTGCTTTTCACACAAATGTGTTTGTTAGCAGGAAGGGTATAAAAGAACTTTATTATACTTAACTGTTTTACGAAGCATGTTTTACTGATATGTCCCAGTGCCCATTAAGCCTCTTTATAGCTTTGATCTTGTTTAGTTTTCCTGCTTTTCATTCCCAGTTCTCCTATGTCATTTATCAATTTTTAAATATTTGAATGAGATCTTTGTTTATTTTAAGGTGATTTCTTACAGTTTCTGGCCCAGTTAGCATACAGTAATTTCAGGCCATGAAGACCCCTACTGAAATTCGAAAGACCATGAAGTCTTTGTAGGTGATCTTAAGATAACATTGTTCTTGGCCTTATGATGAACTGTATATGTGTATCAGCTTTGAGACATAATAATTACTTTAGGTTTTTTTAGGCTTTGGTTGCACTTAATCTTCTGGTTTGATGAAATGTTAGAGTATAAAGGAAATAAATTTTCCATCTTAAAAATGTTTTATGAAGCTTTTCTCTCCCCGTGGTACTTCCTGATGGCCTGATACTATGTCACGTATAATTGGATTGATACTCAGCCTGAATACTTCTTTCTCTTCTTGGCAGCATGGGGTAACCTTGGAAATGTTCTGAAGAGTCAGAGCAAAGTTTCCGAAGCTGAAAGCGCCTATAGGAATGCTTTGTACTACCGGAGCAACATGGCTGACATGCTTTATAATTTGTGAGTATGCATTGCTTTCTCTGGTTTGGTTCATCTCTGAAACCTGTGGCGAGAGGGACTATTGATTTAACTGCTGGAGATGGAGATCACTGTTTTCTGAAATAGTCTTTTCATTAATCATACCTCAGAGACTAGTAGGTGGATGGTATTTGTGACTTCCTTATTATGGGCCACCTCATTGATATTCATGTGTATTGATGTGACACAGCTGAAGTACTGTGCCATGTAACAAAAATTGGTTTAAATGCTTTTAAATTTTTTAAAAATTTGTTCCATTAATACTTAGATGGGTTCATAAAATAAACCTGCTATGGTTGATAATTTATGTAATTGATATCTTGACTATTAGTAATAGTAGATTTTTATCCTCTATTAAAAAATTGCTTCCAATTATATGTAGAACATGTATTAGTGAATAAGATAACGGCTCTTCTTTTATTTGTCCCCTCTCCAGTGGTACTAATAATGAGGTTGGGATAATTGGATAATTTAGAATATTTGTGTACATTGGATTAGAAAAATCCCTAGGGGGAAAATTGGTTTTGTTCTTTAAATAGCAAGTCTCTAGGGGTACAGTGAGATGTGAATGGATAAATGCAAATTAATCCAAATCCCTTTTTTGGCCTCTTATATTTATGACACTTTTGTTTATAATTAATAGAAACGTAGTCTAAGCTTGCTTAAACACAGGAGAGGTTTTATTAACTCCCATAACTGAAAATTCCTGCCGTTAACTAGATGTGGCACAATTAGATCCAGCTGCTTTATTATGCTGTAAGAATTTGTCTACATTTTGTGGCTCTGGTTCCTCTAGGTTCGCTTCATTCTCTGTGGAACTCTGTCTATATCAACGGGAAAGATGATTCTTACACTGTTATGTGTATAACATCCTGACTCCTCAGTCTCAGAAGAGATTGTCTTGGTGTCTCTATTAATCCTGTAAAAAGGTCTTGCTATATCTTCCTGGGGTTATGTGTCCTCTCTTGGATGAAACACTGGGCAGTGTGGCAGGGGCTATAAGATACCACTGTTGACAGTGCCACCAAAGATGGAGTGGAGTGGAGTGGAGGGGAGGGAAGTGGAGTGAAGGGGAGTGGATTGGAGTACCAATTCCCTGCTGGAAGAGACCAGGTAGAATAAGATGTCACTGCTGTGACTAATGAATACTATGTAATATTGACAATATCAGAGTTATCTGTGAGCTCTAATTTTTAGCATGTATTTATGCCCTGGTTGCATCTAAGTCTTTTGTACTGTCTAAATCTAAAAACACAGATAAAAAGGGACAATAAAAGTTAACAGGAAAGAAGATTTAGATTTTTAACGTTAAGCAGACAGGGTGAGCTCAGTTTAATTTCCTGTTTATATATTTACCTTGTTTTTGCTTTGTTTTTTATCTTGATTGTTGAAAGTATTACATATGTCCCCCTTTTCCCCTGGCTAGTGGTCCCTGCCCCCCACCCCAGGCCTTCACCTGGGGTCTCAGTCTCATGGCCTGTGGTCTAAATTAGGTCAGCGTGTGTTTTGTGTTGACCTGCACAGATTTAATTTTTTCTTTTTTCACCTGGAAGGCTTTCCGATGGGGCACATCCTTTCCAGCTTGCACAACCCCTGTTGGTCTCTGCTGTGTTTCATGCTCACCAGATATATCACCATCCTTTTCCCTGACATAATTTAGTTTACATCTTTTTTTTTTTAACTTGAATAAATATATCTTGATATTCCTACAAAGTCTTTTCCTACATCTACATCTAAATATTGTGATGTAACACTATTATTGATTAATAGAATCTTTATTTCATGAAAAAAACCTTATCAACTTGATAAATTTACACAAATGTTCCTTTTTTATTTTTTATTTTTTTTGTATATGAAAGTAATGTTGTCAAAGGGGCCTCTTGCCTTGCAATATGGGATGAGAGTTTTCTTATGGTGTTTATTCTTCATACATTTTGTGGGAGAAAATAAGCTGAACAACTAGCATCTCTGTTTTGATCTTATTTTTCTCTCTTTTATCCACAGTTCTCTATCTCTTGTGGATACCTCTTGGGCAAAGGTTGAAAGAAAAAAGTAAATGTATCTATCTAGGCTTATTCTTTTTTGAGAAGAGAAATTTATTCTATTAGATAAATTCAATTTACATGTAATCTAAGAGTTGCACCTTTAAAACTCCGCTATCTAGATACAATATAAACTATGAAAGTATATGTATATACCTTCCCAAACCCTAATGAAAAATCCTCATTGGAGAAATGATTACTAACAAGTAACACGATCAGTTTGTCCCCCCCGCACCCCCTTTAACTGTAGTAAAATTAGCTGTCATAAATGCCATAAATAGCTCCATAATATTTTTACTAATAATGACAGGGTTTTATTTTTTTAATCTACATTTAACTCTTAACTCAAAAGGGAAAGGCTTAAATTCCACAAGAAGTGTTGGCAATGATTTCAACGTATTAGATTTTGTAACCCATGTCATTGACAGAAATCTGATATTCAATAATTATGTTTCAAAATAGGGAATTTTTCAATGGTTTCTAAAATCAAATATCAATAAAATGCACCAAGATAGGTCTTTTACGACCCATAATATTATAAATATATGATACCATATTTCTCTAGGAACAAACTTTTCCTTTTCTACCTATTTATATAGGTAGGAACTTTTCTCAAAGATAGTTTAGAGAATATTTGGGGGAAAATTTTCTTTTCATATGTGTATGCTGTTTTTAATAGATAATTCTCTCTGATGTATAGAAATTGCTCCTTGTGCTATTTCAAATCTTGAAAGAAAATGAATTTGCTTTGCTCAATCTTACCAGTAAGTAAACTTAACCTAATAATGCTCCTTTGTGGCAATAGCAGGTTTTAATTACTTTTCATATCATCAGTTATAGTTATGTATCTTAAAGGTACTTTATGACCAAAGCCTGAAATGAATGAATATGTATTAGTTGCATGAAATACTTATATTCACTGATGAATTTTAAAAGCTTTTGGAAATTATACACTTCTGTTAAATCCTGTACTTTTAGTCAGCAACCTAGATTTTTTTTTTAAACGAATTCAATGTTCATAAAGCTACTGCTTTGTAAATTATTAAAATTTTTCATATTGTTAGAAATTTTTACTAGGGAGATATATATGATTATGTAACTTCACAAAATAGACCCAGAGATATGGAACAAACTGACCAATCTCAAGGGAAGAGGGGAGGTGGGAAGAGTTTAACAAAACTCCATTTATATGCATATATGGATAACCCATGGACACAGAAGGCCTGGGGAAGGGAGCAGGAGCAGGGTGAAGGTGGTCAGTGGCGGGAAAGGGGACTTCTATAATAATTTCAACAATAAAGATAAATTAGAAAAAACCCACAAGCAATCATTACTCAAGGGAGGTACACCAGCATTGACCAGCCACAGGATGATTCTAGGAGGTCAGAGAGAATCCTAAATTAGTCCCTGTATATTGAATTTTATGTTTAAATTTTTTTAAAAAAAATTTGACTAGCACATTTAAAAGCACATCTAAATATTGTTCTATGTCAGGATAGATAAAAATGATTTGAAAAATTATTAAGTAAATACTTGTATAAATGATATTTGGTTATATTTGAAGTTGGGCAGCATTGCCTGATAATATCTTCAAACTTTGAGGACAGTTTTTTTTTTTTTCAGTATTAATATCAAGTTTTACATGTGCATATAAATGGTTATATATCTTTTTAATAAATGAATGGGATAATATTGATTCTTTTTTCTTGATAGCAATTACTTGAATTACTTACATATACCAAGCATTCTTCTTAATTCTTTACAAATGATTATCATAGTTTGTCTTTAAATGAAGCCTACAATGTGAGGAAAATGAAACTCAGAGGCAATTTCTCTAAGGTCACACACGTAGTAGAGTAGCTGGAATTTGAACTTGAGATGTTAACTCTATATCCATAAAATCACATTTCTACAGAATAAACAAAAGGTGTGAGAAAAAAACCCTCAATGTATATCTTTCAAATTCAGAAAAAACTAATTCAAATAACCTTTACATGTAGATTATTTGAAATTAAATCTAATAGAGAATATAAATTAACTTTTTATGTCAGTTACTGTGTTTACTGAACTCATGCTGTAGAATTTTGTTAGAAAGATCATCAGTGGGTTTGTACCACTGAGGTTAGAGTTGCTTTTAAGAAGAAATTGCATCAAAAAGCCTTTTTAAATGTCTAAATTACTCCTGGCCAGTGTGGCTCAGTTTGTTGGTCATCCCATGCACCATAAGGTTGCAGGTTCCATTCATGGTCCGGGCAAATGCCCAGGTTGCAGGCTCACTCCCTGATAGGGGGCATGCAGGAGGCAGCCTATCAATGTTCTGCTCTCATATTGATGTTTCTCTCTCCCTCTCCCTTCCTCATTCCCTAAAATTTAATTTTTAAAAATAGTTCTTAAAAACATAAATAAATTCATTAATTATAAACTATTGATATCATGTCAATCCATGCTTACAGATGAAGCCATATAATGTGAAATTTAAAGTAGTACTTACTTACTCTTAGTAGCAATAGATATAGTACACTCATTGCACATCCTTATATTCAGCCTTCTATTTATATTGCCCAATTTATTGAAATGCATTACTTCACGTGACTAAGTTTTTAAATACCTGGTATAATAGATCTTCATTATGATGCTGGTTTTTATTTTCAAGTATAGGAAATTTTCAGAAACAAAAGAGATGGGCCATTGCTTAGTGATTTACACTGTCAAATTTCACAAATATATAGTCAGCTTTCAACCTTGTAACTACACCACTCACTGACATTTGAAATAGAATTGATTTCTAGGCTGAAAAATACTCAGCTGATGTTCTTTCATTGTTGTTATAGATTTGTCCCAGCCACTTTGTTCCAAATGATATTTAAATAATAATTCAATAGAACATTAAATTTTTCATTAGGGATTTGATTTCAGAATGCAGGTAATAAATACAGGTTT